GATGAAACCCATTGATCCGCACCCTTGGTCACCTGGGTTGTGTCCAGGTCTCTTCCTGAATGGTTCATACACTCTTTAGGGAGAATGGATCCACTCCAGGGTGGGGGTCAGGCTGAAGGGCAGTGGTGGTGTCTCTGGCAGGACGTCTTATGGCGCGGTGGTATCTTCATTCTCCGCCACTTCTGGGTTTTCCCTTGCAGCCTGTCAGCTGTTGAACACCCTGATATGACACAGTTCAACCTAGTGTTGTGTTCAGTAGTTTTTGGCTTTGTTTTGCTTTGCTTGTTCGCCTGCTTGCTGGTACTGCAGTGTCCATGCCCTAACAGAAGTAAGTAGGACAAGACCTTGTACACTATTTACATGTGTGCCGTGTACACTAAAATGTTACATTAAACGTCTCATCCGATTGGCTTGGGGGCCGTACCTGGCTGTGCTCAGGGCTTACTTCCAGCTCTGTGCTCCGGGAGCAGCCCTTGGTGGTATTCAGGAGACACATGCGGTGCTAGGGATGGAACCAAGCTGCATGCAAGGCGAGCACCTTAGCCGCTGTACGACTTGTCTGGTACATTCAACATTTCATACTTTCCCTTTAGTGACATTAAAGCCAGTTACTTGGCCCAAGAAGGCTGGGAGAAGACCTTCCATAGACAGATTTGAATTTGCTGAGAATCACTGTGACTGATTGAAGTTAAGCTTAAAAAGACACATTGAGTTTTAAAATTGATTTTTATTGACAAAGGCTTATACGTTACTACCTTTAGCGTTTCTGTTAATTAGTTAATATTGGAAAAAAATCAGTAAAATGGATGGAAGCTTTTAGAAGAGTGATTATTTGCTCTATAAAATGTCTCATTTCTTTACATCGTTGGCAAAAATTTTTCCCTTCTGCTGAGTTTGCAATTTGAGCTCACCAACGTGTTCATTTCAAAAATTAGCAAAAACAGTCAGAGAGATATAGTTCAGTGAGTAAGGAGCTTGCCTTGCACATGGCTGATGTGGGTTTGATCCCTGGCATCACATACGATCCCCTAAGTCTGCAAGTCATATATGATTCCTGAATACAGAGCTGGAGTAAGCCCTGAGCAAAGCCAGTGTGTCTCAAGACTCAGAAACAATCAATTAAAAATTAAAAAATGGAAAAGTCAGCAAAAGGGGCCATAGATATAGCTAAGAGGGGCTTGGCACATGATGTGCATATGTGAGAATAATTCTATCCCCAGCATCACATACCCCCATCCCAGGGCCACATGTAGAGCTGGTGACTCCGCATGCCCACACTGACCTCCATCCACCCCCCAGCAACTCCTGGCTTGAGCACCGAATGAGTCCTCAGGGTCTCACAGGAAATAACGGCCTACAAGCATCATGGGTTATAGCTTCTAGTTTTGAAAAAATGTCAGAAAATAAGGCAATGGGATTAGTATTCAATCTTTGGGGCTGGAAAGAATGTGGCCTGGATCACTGTTTAGTTCTGAAGCCTCAGTGTCAAGATGACTTAGTGCTCTAGAGACCACCACCACTGGAGTGATGATTCGCCTACGTCCTTGGCCTACGAGTCTTCCCTACCCAAACCTAACTATCTACTCAGATGTCCCCATTTGGGGGTATACTGGTGATGGGTGTAGTGTTGGAATAACGTACATGGAAACCATCATCAACAAAATTGCAGATCACAGAACCTCAATCAATAAAAGAAATTTTAAAGAAAATTCCTCTACTTTGGTGACTGATGAGTATTTAAAACAGATAAGAAGCAAAATCCTGGGGCTGGAGAGATAGCACAGCGGGTAGGGTGTTTGCCTTGCACGCGGTCGACCCGGGTTCGATTCCCATCATCCCATATGGTCCCCTGAGCGCTGCCAGGAGTTCCTCAGTGCAGAGCCAGGAGAAACCCCTGTGCATCATCAGGTGTGACCCAAAAAGCCAAAAAAAAAAAAAAAAAAACCAAAATCCTGACTTCTGCCTTCAAAATAGCTTCTACAATTCAGTTCTTCCAAGTTGCTCTCTTATTTCCATATCTCATTTCCTTATCTAATATTCATAGTTCTTATCAGGTCTAGATGAAGTAAGTCCAGAACTGAATTCTGTTTTCCTCTGACCTCAGTCTGACCTCAGTAACTACTGAGGTGGATACCACGCCCATCACTATTGTCTGGGTAGCTAGATTTTCCTAACTGGTATCCTTTTCACCAACTAAAACATTTATTTTCATCTGGCTCATTCCATATAATCTCTGGGAGACCAAGGACTTCCCTTTCATTTAGTGCCACTGCAAGCTTGCAGGGGCTGGAGCGATAGCACAGCGGGTAGGGCGTTTGCCTTGCACGCAGCCAACATGGCCGACCCGAGTTCGATTCCTCCGCCCTTCTCGGAGAGCCCGGCAAGCTACCGAGAGTATTCGATATGCCAGACACAGTAACAACAAAGTCTCCAATGGAGACGTTACTGGGCCCGCTCGAGCAAATCGACGATCAACGGGAGGGCCTTTACTTTTACTTTTTACAAGCTTGCAGACACAACGAATAAAACATTTTATTCCACTACATACAAAGTAATTGATCGTTAAGTTTTTTTTGGCTTTTGAGTCTCACCAGGCAATATTCGGGTCACTCCAGACTCTGCACTAAGGAATTATTCTCAGGGGACCACATGGGAGGCAGAAGATCGAATCCAGGTCCAGCTGGTGCAAGGCAAGAACCCTACTCGAAGGCTCTCTCCAGCCCCACAGCAACTAATTTAAAGGGCGTTTTGGGAATGCAGTAACTGACAGTTGGGCGTGAGGTGTACACGTGCGAAAACCCTAGCACAGAGGAGTGAATGGAACATGGGGCTCGCTGCTTCAACGTACCCATAAGTGTTGGTGCCTGGCAAGCGGTTCTCTGTAGAGACAATGTCAGTGTACCCCAAGGGTGGCTCACGTGAGTTGGGAGGAGGGAAAGACTGTTACCTTCTCCTGATCTGCCTCTGCCACCCAGGACCCAGGCTTACTGGGTTCTTGTCTCTACTCGCAGAAAAGAATTTCAAGAGTAGACAAGCAGTGAAGTAGAACAGATTTTATTTGGAGGTTTTGAAGAAAAGGAGGAAGGCAAAGTGGGAGAGAGCAGAGAGTAACGTGCTCAAGAGAGAACGCCAGGGCTGGAGCGATAGCACAGCGGGTAGGGCCTTTGCCTTGCACACGACCGAGCCGGGTTCGATTCCCAGCATCCTATATGGTCCCCTGAGCACTGCCAGGAGTAATTTCTGAGTGCAAAGCCAGGAGTAACCCCTGAACAATGCCGGGTGTGACCCCATAAAAAAAGAAAGAAAAGAGAGAGAGAGAATGCCAGCTTCTCCAAGGAGAGAGCCCCTACACACACTCTCCATTAGACAGGAAAGTCCACATCTCAAGAGCGGAGTTGCGGGTGACACATGTGCTTGGCCACATGGGCCCAGGCAGTGTGTGCACGCCTTTCCTTTGTCCAAGTGACGTAGGCAGATAGGGAAGGTCCCCTCCAAGGCGATGGCAGTAAATCTCCTGGGAAGCAACAGCCCTGACCTCTTGGAGAACTGGCACCAGTCCACCAGTCTGTAACAGACCATGCGGAGGCTGGACGCCTACAGGGATGACAACAGAAGAGAGAGAGACCAATTGAGGACCAGAGAGAGATGAACCAGAAACTCCAACGCTGTTTCTTTGACACCTGACCAACCCCCTCCAACAGAAGCTCCTGCAGAAACAAGTCAGGAAAGGAATTTCAAAGAAGACCATCACCACTCCCAACCCCCTTGGTCACCCCCAGCAATGGACTTTGACCTAGACAGAAGCCCCACATGGGGCAGGTTGGAAGAAACCCTATAAAGGCCACCTTGAACAAAGGAAGCTCGTGCATGTGCTGTCTGAGCACACGTGTCGCCCGCGTCTCCCCTCTTGAGACGTGGACTTTCCTGTTTCCATGTCCAGTGCCGGGATGTGTGTAGGGGCTCTCTGCGCTGGCCTTTGGAGAAGCCGGGGCTCCCTGTGGAGCAGGTTGCTCTCTACTTTCTCTCCCTCTCCCCCTTCCCTTCAAAACCTCCAAATAGAAACTAATCTTCACCGCTCATCTACTCCTGAAATTCCTTCCTGGAGCGAGACAAGAACCCAGTAACCCTGGGTCCGGCGGCAGAGGCGGCGGGGGGAGAGCGTGGTCCTTCCCCCGCTCCACGCGGGACGCCTGCTGGGCCCAGGGCGTCACAAGGCGCCTTCCTGGGGTCTCTCCAGCCGGCCCGCGGGCTCCACCTGGGCCAAAGTCCCCTTCCGTCGCTAGGGCGGTTCCCGGGGTGGGGGGTCTTCTTCGAAACCGGCCTTTGGCTTCTGCAGGGGCTTCTCCGGGTCTGTCGCTGCAGGTGGGTGAGGGTCCTATCAGGCCTCGTCCCTGTCGGCCTTGGCCGTGGCCTTGGGGGGGCTTCCCTCGCTGCCCACATCAACCGTTCGCTCTATGTCGGGCCACAGCGGGTCTGAGGCCTCGGGGACTCCTCCTGCGCAACGCCCGCGGGCACCGGCCCTGGGGTGCCTCCCGCGGGTCAGGTCGCCGGCCCCCGCAGTGGTCACTCGGGGCCACGCCCCGGCCAGCAGGCAGGGCCGGGGACAGGGCTCTGGGGGGCACTGGCCGGTCTGCGCGGCGGGGGGCCCCGAGGGGGCGCTGGGGCCTCGGCCACCCCCGGCGGGGCCGCCGCGGCTCGTCGCCCAGGAGAAAGGCGCGCGGCGCGGGGCGGGGGCGCGCTCGCGGGGCGGGGGCGCGCGGCGCGGGGCGGGGGCGCGCGGCGCGGGCGGGGGCCCCGCGGCCGGGCCGACCCAAGATGGCGGCGCGACCTGCGACCCGGCGGCCGCCCGCGGCGTCGCTGCCCTCTTCCAAGATGGCGGCGGCCGTGGGCGCGGCCCGGCTCCGCCCCGCCCCGCCCCGCCCCGCCCCGCCGCCCGGCCCGCCCCGCCCCCCGCGTCCCCTCCCGGGGCCTCGCAGTGGCCGGCGCAGGCGGCGCGGCGCGCGCGGGGACGGCGGGCTCGGGGCGGCGACATGGCGGCGGCGGCGGCGGCGGCGGCGGCGGCGGCGGCGGCGAGAGGCAGGAAGCGGGGCCCGGGGCCGCTGGCCACCGCGTACCTGGTCATCTACAACGTGGTGATGACGGCGGGGTGAGCGGGGCCGGGCGGGCGCGGGGCCGAGGGCGCGCGGGGCCGGGCGGGCGCGGGGCCGAGGGGCGCCCCGCGCGGCGCGTCCCCCAGCCCGGGCCGGTGCCTGCCCAGGTGCGGAGCGCGCGGACTCGCCCTCCCGCGCCCCCCGCCCGTGCGCCGGCGAGTGTCGGGCTGGGCCGGGCCCCGAGTTCCCCCGCGCCGCGGCCGTTCGTGCCCCGCCCGGGGAGGACCAGGGACCCGAGGGTGCGCGCACGCCCCGGCAGCCCGCGTGCGTCGCGGTCCTTTCCCCGCGGCCGGCGGGGAGAAAGTGCCCGGAGCGCGCGAGGGTGGAGAGCCGCGCGGCCAGCGTCCAGCCGCTCGCGGCTTTGCCGGCAAAACCGGGTCCGGAATTGGGAGCGGGCGCAGGGATCAGGGCGCACCGAAGCGGACGGCGCGGGCGTGCCGCGGGTCGGGTGCCTGCAGGCCCTCGGCCGGCCTGGGTCGGATCGCCAGCGCCTCGCAGGGTGCCGGGACCGGAGCGGCCCGACCTCGAGCCAGGAGTCAGCCTGAGCGCCCCGGTGTGGCCCCGACCCGGGACACCCGCAGGAGCTGCGATCCGCATCCTCCCGTCTTTCAGTTCCACCCCGGCCCGCTCCGTAGGCAGCCCACTGTGGCGTCCTCCAGATGTAGATAGGGTCCAGCACACAGACCCGCTCTCTCCCCACCTCTCAGTCCCCTTATTAAACACAGATGCTGTTGGCATTAGCGTTTCGCCTTTTCTTCTTCCCCAAAGTTTATCTTAGAAGCCCCATTCGCCTAGTTGCTGTTGTGAAGAATGGCCAGTGCTGGAACCCAGACTTGCTTCATATCAGGACTTGTTGGTAGATCCTTCTTGTCTGGTTTTGAGCCGTACCTGGTCGTGGCCAGGGCTTATTCCTGGCTCTGCGCTCAGGGATGACTTCTGGAGGTGCTCGAGGGACCGTATGTGGTCCTGAGGCGTCAAACTGTGTGCAAGACAACTGCTTTATTGCCATATTATATCTCTCTATGGCGCCACTAGGAGATCCTGGTCTCGGACCATTCTCTTGATTCACAGGCCAGTTTATAAGAGGCCTGAGAAATTTAATTTTCAGAAGCACTGTAGAACAGAAATGTGATTTTCATGGCTTTGTGCCCAAGAGCTTCCCTGCACTAAGTTTTGTATTGATCTGACGTTCCCTTTCTGAACTGATTTTGGGAAATTCAGCTGAAATCCCACTTACACTTAAAAAAAAAATCCCAAACATTTATTCTTACGTTGTTTACAGTTATGGGGTGGCCGATGGCCACAGGGCACCCCAGTAGTGGTCGGAGACTGTGTCCACCCTGCTCCTGGATAGAGTTGCTTGACTAGGGCTCTGGGGACCATGTGGCGGCCAGCATCTAGCCTGGGCTCTGGCCATTTGCAGTTCAGAGGTGGTGGGTGCAGGGATGGCTTAGGCCATACTCAGAGGCTGCTCTCGGCTCAGGGCTCGGAGGTCACTTCTGGTGGCCTTCAGAGAACCATAGGTGGTGCCAGGATCACAATGGGGCTGGCCAGTGTGAGACAGGCACCTTAACTCTCCTTGTGCTCTCTCTGGCTCCCAGTTTTAATTTCAAAGGATGGTTTGAAGGTATGTGCATGATCCTGCAAGATAGCTTGCAGAAAGTTTTCACATCCTCTCCACCTGTTATCTGTGACCCTGTGACTGCACAGACCATATACATTTTTCCTTTAACTCTTTTTTATTTCTCTTGTCTTAGAGCTCCTGGTACCTCATTTGGCTGCCTAAGGACCAGTTTAGCTTGTACCCTTCCTTTCGGCCTTGTTCTCAACGGGCCAGGCTGTGTAAAACAGCTCTAGGTGTGTAAGCTGCCACCGTGGGTCTGCACAGGCCTTGCTTGGGTGCTCTTGTGTCATGTTCTGGGCCTTACAGCGACCTATGGTCCAGAAATCCAGGACACTGATTCTTTGGGTCACCTTTAGCATATCTGTTGCCACATCCCTCTTAATGCCTTCTTTCTTTTTTCTGATCACTGTACCCTTTGTCTTAGGTGGCTCGTCATCGCGGTTGGCCTGGTGAGAGCGTACCTGGCCAAGGGGAGCTACCATAGCCTTTATTATTCCATCGAAAAGCCTTTGAAATTCTTCCAAACTGGAGCCTTATTGGAGGTAGGTCATGAGATTAGTTGTGACTGATTTCTATATTTTAAAAGAAAAGTTTAAAAAAAAAATAAGAGTTTGCTACTAAATCATACTGAAAAGGATCATGGTTCTTCTGATGTGCTTTAAGTTTCGAAAAGTCGCCTCATATGTACTGTAATGCCGCTAAATCCAGTGAAGTATATAAGTGAATTACCTGAAATATGTTTCATGTTCAGCGTCTAGCAGAAGTCAACCAAAGGTCGGGGAAGTAGCTCAGAGGGCTGGAGGGATGTGGGAGCCCCCAAGTCCTTCCTCAGCACTGTCTGGTCCTTAAACACTGAGCAGGGGCAGCCAACCTGAGAGGGAAATATTACATTATTTCAGTCCTGCTTTGGGGCAGAGATTGGGGTTCGAAATGGAAACACCCAAAATATGGTGGTGGGAAGGTGTATTATTGGTGGTGGGATTGGTGTCCGGATATTAAATGTAATCAGATATTGTGAACTACTTTATAAAATAAAAAAGGAAAAATACATTGAGCCAGGAATAGTTCCCAACACTACTTGTCGTGTCCCCAGCTTTGCCCTTCTCAAACCCCCCCAGATAAGTAAGAAAGTGAAACATGCTCCTGTGGGATTTTTGAAGTTCTGGGGTGTGCCTGGAGGCAGCTCCAGGGCTGGCTGGCAGTCTGCGTGTGCGTGGGGGGCTGCGTTGGCTACCCCTAGAGCTCCAGGACTTGACCCCAGCCAACCCCAGGGCTTCGCACATGCCCGGCAAGCGCTCCGGCACCCGAGCTCCCTGCTGGCCCGTCACGGGTCATCTTAAAGGAAGCATTCGCAGCTCAGATAGTTTCAGGGCCTGGACATACAGTGGACGCAGCGAAGTTAGTGGCTGAAGGAAGTCAAACGCGATAAAGAGCAGTAGAGTCTATCTAAATGCATACAAATTTTCAAAACTTTGTAATAGGAACACGGATTTCATTGTGTTAAGAGTGATGTGTATCAAGTCCAGTCTCCTGGGTAAGTGTATATTAGGATTTTTGACTTGTAAGGGACAAACCCAGTTGCAACTATTATAAGCCCCCTCTGCCCAAAAGGATTTTTGAGGGGAGGAGATATGTGGATGGGAACCTGCACCCTAACGCTCGCAGAGCATGGACTTCTGGGGACCACAGCCAGCGGTCCTTGGGCCACTCTGGCTGTGCTTTCTGACTGCAGCCACACGGCCTTGACCTTTGTACCAGCCCTCTGGCCCCACGCAGGGAGCTGACCACTGAGCCACTCCTGGGCCACCACATAACTGGAATTAGCTGATGTCTATGCACATGAGGGAGAAACTTCTGAAACCAGAGGCTCCAGCTCAGAAGTGAGCGGCTGGGTTGGCGTTGTCAGCCTCTGTTCCCATCCCCCGTCTCTCTCTGACGTTGCTCCGCCGCCGTCCTGTACACGGGGGTCTCCCGTGATGGGATCAGCAAAGAATTGGTTTTTCTCAGCATCAGTGTCCGGTCTGTGGAAGAATGCTGGTCTCCTGACTGGCCAGTCCTGGCCAGCCCTGTCAGCTCGCCTGCTCTAATCTCCAAGTTCCGGCCAGCGGGCTGCAACATTGTTCATAGCAGAGGAGCTGGAGGGCGGTGACGTGTGTGAAACCCCGCAAAAGCTAACGCAATGATAAACGAAAAAAGGCTCCGTAAAGGCGGGCTGGGGGTGGGAGGCAAGTGGGGTAGAGGGGAATTGGCGGAGGGCAGTGGACGCTGGCAAGGGGTCAGTGTGGAAACAACGTGTGCCCGAACCCCAGTCGTGAGTGATTTTGGGATTTCAGAGTGACTACGTTGAAAAGAAAAGGAAAAGAAAAGGAGAAAAGGGGGGTAGCGGAGGCATGTGAAACAACAGTGCCGTTACGGTTCAAGGAAAAAGGCTTAGGGATCGTGACTTGCTGTACTGGTAGCAAGAGGGTCCCGAGCCTGCAGCATTGCAGCGCCGCCTCACCCCAGCCAGAGTGCCAGCCTGCCCCCGCCCCCCTTCTTTTTGATGAAAAGCCCTCATGTTGCCGAGTTGATCTTAATATTCATTTTTAGCTCATTTTCCTTCAGGCACAAGCCAATCGTGACATTTGAAAGAATATCAAAGAGAAATCATCTACCTCTTGGCGTCCTTCTTACTTACTTTTCTTAGTGATCCATTATTTTTTAATTACCCAACAAACACCCCCCACCCTTCTTTTGGCGGGCAGACCACCTCCGGTGATGCTCAGGGTTACTCCTGGCTTTGCACTCGGTTATTACTCCTGGCGGTGCTTGGGATCATATGAGATGCTGGGGTTCACCGTGTGAACGTATAACCCTACCTGGTGTATTATCACCGCAGCCCCGAAATCTCTTCAGTTTTGAAACTAGAAGATTTCCCCCCCCCTTTTTTTAACGTATCAGAAGAAAGATTTCAGTTATGTACCTGCTTACGTTTTAGGAGGGGGAGGGTGGGAAGAGCTTTCAGCTGTGGCCCGTCTCTCCCTAGAAGGAGTAGGCCGTGCCGGGCCATGGGACACTGGAAGGGCTTTTGCCTTTCATGCGACTTCAGTGACCCTTGATTCAATTCCTGGCTTTCTCTCCCGATTTCACACTGTAGACTTTAAAGGGTTTGTTCTAACAGAAATTTGCAAAAGAGTTTTAAGAAAATATTTTGGAGTTTGTGTTTTGTTTCTCTTATCCCTACCAAGAACCAACGAATGACAAATGGTGGATTTTGGAAAAAAGATTGTGTCAAGGAAGTGGTGCTGCCAGGAGCGTGAGGGAACTGCACTTTGCAGACGTTGTGAGGGCAGCTGAGTGTGAGGGAACTGCACTTTTCAGATGTTGTGAGGGTAGCAGCAGACTCAGCCTTAAGCAGTGGAGCAGATTCATTACAACTGATTTTTCTGCAGCGTCATTTAAGACATTTTTCATCGCCCATCTAACCGACACCGTGTAATAATGTAATACTTACATCTGTGCAGAATCGGTTAGTTACAGGAAGGGATTTTTATGGAACTCACTCGCGCTGGACACTCTGTCTTGTTTGCAACAAGAGGAAGGAGCCCACCGAGCTCAGCTCTCAGTGGGTTTCCACATGCCCGGTGTCATTCTTTGATAATTTCGTGGGATTTTTGCTTAATAAAGGAAATCAGGGCTGAACACATGCTTTGCTGGGGTTCACCTTGGTACTGCATTACCTCTAAGCAGCATGGCTGTGCTCAGGAGCGACCCTCCAGGTGTGGCTGAATGAGGACCAGGGAAAAAAGGAAATACAGATTACTTGCTCTCGAGACCTTAGATTGTCTCATGAAAATAAAAATAAGACTTTTTTTCCCTAAAGGATTTTTAAGCCATTTGCCGTAAAAGTGCAGGTTGTCATGTAGTGGGGTACCAAGAAGATAGATTTGCATCTGAGAAAATGAGATTAACCATTCTCAAAATGAGTTCAAAGATAGTGTAAGCTGGTGATAGAGCAATGCAGCTTTTTCGGGGGGGGGGGGGGGCTTAGATCACACCAGGCAGTGCTAAGAGACGGTTCTGTGCTGGGGTTCACTCCTCACAGTGCTCAGGGGACCATGTGTGGCACCAGAATTAAATTAGGGTTGGCCCCAGGCGAGACAAGCGCTTTAAGCCCTGTCCAGTCTCTGATCCTGAAACTCCCCCGTGATTTCCAGCTGCCGGGCCAGCAGTTCTGGGTGGGAGCTGAGGGTGTGCTGCTGGGGTCCCGGTGTACCAGGGATCGTAGGGTGCTGGCATTCACCCCCGGGGCGGGCCGTGCTGCATCCCCCACTCCTAGAGCGCTCCCCAGGTCCTCTGTGGAGAGCTGAGCTGAGCACACAGCATCCCACGGTCTCGTCTGCCGCCTCTTTCTCAAATTTTGTATTTCTGTTTGAGGGCCACAGCCTGTGGTGTTCAGGAGCAGTTCTTGGTTCTCTGCCCAGGTGAAGGCCCCTGGGTGGTGGTCAGGGGCCATGTGTGGTGTTGGGGATTCGAATCAAGGCTAGCCGCGAGCTTGACACTGATCCCACTTCTGAAAAATGGTGGGGCGGGGAGGGCTTGACAGGGTCATAGCCGGTGGTGTTCAAGGGCTGTTTCTAGTTCTGCTTAGGGGACCATGTAGTTTTTTCTGGCAAATGCCTTGATCCCTGTACCATCTTTCTTTCTGGCCCCTCCCTCCCTCCCTCCCTCCTTCTCTGTCTCTCTCTCTCTCTCTCTCTCTCTCTCTCCCCCACTTCTCTCTCAACCTCTTCCTCTCCCCTTCCCCCTCCCCCTCTCCCCCAATGGTGGTCAGGGCTTGCTCCAGCTCTGTGCTTAGGTGGGGATGGAGCGATCATATGTGGTGCTGGGAGTGTACCTGGGCCAGGTACATGAAGGCTAGCCCTGTACCTGTTCGATTGCTCTGACCCATCTCCCATCTGTCATCTCTGCTGTTCTTCCTCTGTTCATCTCTTCTTGCAGAGTTTTCATGGTTTCTTAGTCCACGTGGCAGATAATGGCAATAGCCCAGAGCCCTGAAATTTCAGCTCCTGCAGTCACAAGAGCCAGGTAGCTGAAGAATCTCACTCCTAGTCTGCATTCCCATCCTGATAGCTGGACCATCACGTCGAGGCTAGGGAGAGGTCATATCCCCATATCCCCAGCCTGGGAATTCGTAAGCTGGTGCCTATCATGGCACTGGAGAAGTTTTTGAGAGAATTTAGATTTCTAAATATGTATAGTTAGCATAAACCTGTATTTGTATCAGTCATATCTTTAACTACTTGTGATTACATATGCTTGTGATAGTGAAAAAAGGTTCCAGTGATAAGGGGCGCTCTGTGTGACTGCACTGAAGTAGGTCTTCAGTACACACTAGTTTCTGTACACAGTGACTGTCTCAGGATGCTTAACAGGCCACAGGACACACTTTCCTGTTCTCTGCTAGAGCCTTCTGTTGTTTGAAATCACCTTTGTCCTCCCCCATCCCCTCCCCCCCCACACACACAGAAAGAAAAAAGTAAAGAGAGAAAACAGGCTCATG